GGGAGGCGGCTGCTTTTGCTTCCCCGGTCCCAGACGCTTTCTTGGCGGTGAGGAGTCAGCGTGCTGTACCGGCCCCGGAATGTCAGCTACTGCGAGGTTTTTGTTCTTTTCCTGCAGCTTGGCTAAACATAGCTTCCTCAGAAATGCATTATTATTATTATTATTATTATTATTATTAAAGTATTTGGGTCAGTTGGAATACGCTTGCTGTTGCCCAGGGGAGTCTGCGTACCCTGCACGCAGCGCCAAGTGCTGACACGCAAGTTTCCAAGCAGCTCCCCTGAAATCAGCTGCCGGTGTCGAACTAAACGCGGAGTCAAGGCCTTGCTGGCCCCTCTTAGTCCATCCTCAAAACTCTTGTTTTGAGACGCACTTTCTATTAATACATCAAAATAGTCAAGCCATCTAAATTTGTGCAGTTATTATCATTACTAGTATTATCCCTTGATTGTTGCTCTACGCTTCGAAGTAGAGAGGATGCCTTAAGCAGAAGGTGAAAGGGAAGACGGAGGAAGAAGACAACCAGGATTTAGTGATGGTGACAGCAGCCAAGTCTACAGCACCTCTTTGCCTTTCTATAGACAGAACAAAAGGCGGCATGGGCAAGAAACCAAGTGTCTGCCATAAACTGGAGCTAGCTGCTGTGGGTGTGTGTGGAAAAGCAGAAACCTCAGCACAGGAGAATGTATTTGCAGTACCAGGGCCAAAAAAATCTGCACTATGGTAGTGAAATATACAGCATCAGCTTGAACTCTGAGTCAATACTGCATTAAATGAATAAAGCAGCCCAAACCTCAGAGCTATTAATTCAGTGGTGAATGCTGTCTCAAGCCGGAATTTATTGGGAATTTGGGCTACAGATGCTGTTGCCCCCCTTCCTTAGTAGCAACTATATATATCCATGCCTTGTGTGTGCTCACGTGTGACGCAGTGTGGATACATAGCTGGGCCACCTCGCAAATCAGATAAAGAACTCATCTGCCTCTGTTGCCAACAGGTTAGACTATGAACCTGACATTTGGGAATAGCACCTGAGGGTGCTGTTTCTGGCTTTTCTAATCACTTGTCTTGTGATCTTGGGCAATCATTTCATCGCTCCCTATTAGAGGTTCCTTGACAGTGTTATGCCCCTCCCTCCACTGAAATCGTGTAACACCCATGGATGAAACACATTATTTGAGGTTCACGCAATCTTATTTTGGTCTGTGTGCAATTGCAGAAAGGCTCATTTTTTTGAGGCCCAAGGCAAAAATAATCCCCTCAGTCCTCGAGATTTTTCAGTCATCAAAGCTAGCAATAGGATTTTTCTGGGAAACTGAAGTTCTGGAGCGCAGTTGGGTAGAAAGGTGCAGAGTGGGCAGCGAATTCAGTGGAACGCACCTGGCGCTGCTGGTGGCCTGGGAGAGTGGCGGAGGACACTTGCTTGGGCCGGTCTCTCCCAGGAAAATGGCAGTGCAGTCTCTTGCTTGAGGCCTTGCAGGAGGTTTGCTTCTTACTCCTTTGCATTTCTTAATTCTAAGATCCTGGGATCTGGTTTTGGTTGTGGGGTTTTTTTTTTCTTTTTTCCTTTTTTTTTCTTGTCTTCTTTGCCATGAGGGCATATAAACACCGGTTACCTGAGTACTACTTCTTCTCATTTGTGGCTTGGACTTCCCATCTCGTCTCATAAACCTTTCAGTTCTCTTTTTTATGGTTTTCACATTGTCTAGATGATAAACAGATAGGGAAGGAAACTGCAGAACAAATTTCGAATGACAGGTTGGCCAGCGTCAGCTGAACTTGACGGCTGTGTAAAGTTTCATTTCCAAAAGGCAATTAAAATGCCCTCAGGGGCTGAAATTTAATTTTAGGCACGTTTGTCAAATTCTGACAATGAAAACGGGGGAGTTTTCAAAGAGGAGCAGCTGCTGGCAGGCGTTCAAGTGACATTCCCGGCTCGCAGCCCGGTTTTGTGCTCTCATTTCACCTCCAAGTGATGGGATGGGCTTATTCGTGCCAAACCCTTTCATAAAGATTTAAAAATAGGGTTTGGGTTTTTTTTTTTCCCCTTTGTAACGCGAATTATTTTCCTCTCTGCATTACTGACCCCAGATCTACGTGGCTGTAGGTGTTCGTGCCGGTTACCGGACGTCAGGAGGGGCGGTGACGCCGCGGACCCCCGGGGGAGCCCTTCCCCGCCGCCGCGGCCTCGGGGCGGCTCTGGTCCTCCCGCCCTCCAGGGGGCGCTGCGCGAGAGCCCGGCCCGCGGCCACTTCCGGGTCGGTCGGCGCATG